GCCCAGCTCTTCTGCACCGAGCCATCATCGCCCCCTCGCACGCCCAGCCTTGCTGCACCAGCCCTGCACCTACGCCCGAGCCTTGCACCTACGCCCCTGCTCCCTGCTCTGCGCCCAGATCGTCTGCACTCTGCTGCGCCTGGCCTTGCTTCCTGCACCAGCTTTGCTCTGCACCAGCTCCTGCGCTCTGCACTAGATCGCCTGCACTCTGCTTGCCCTGCTGGGCCCCACTGCCGGCAATGATGCCCCTGCACGCTAGCCATCATCGCCCCCTCGCACGCCTGCAACCTGCCCTACACCTAGCCATCATCACCCCCTCGCACGCTGCACGTACTCCCCTGCACCGAGCCTGCACCCCTGCTGCTGCACCTTGCTGCGCCTCATGCACTTCAGTGCCCAATCCCGCGCCCTGCAACCTGCACGCCACAGCCATGCAGAAAAGACAGTGAATAACAGACAATTAGCATCCTCAGAGAATTTTTTTTTTTTTTATGTTATTGTACCGTTATTCGGGTCTATATAGAGCAAGAGGCAGAGGTCTTGAGGGAGGGGGGTCGGTTTTTGAATTTGGGAAGCCTTTGGTTGATTGTTGGAGTTTGATTTGGGAGCCATTGTTCTGGGTTTCGGGAGAAAAGAGGGAGGAGAAAACCGAGCTGACTCCGGCGAGATTCCGGCAATTTTCAGTCTCCTTCTGCTAGGTAAACCATGAAAACAGAGGATCTTTGTTAGGAAAATGGTGAAGGAGACGGTGGAAGCTTGATCCCGTGGGTGGGATTTCTTCCACCAAATCCACATCTGTTTTCCTTTCAAAAATCCACTGTGCTTGTTTTTATCTTTTTGTGGTTTTTATCTTTCTGTGGTGTTTGTTTCTTTAGATCTGATGTTAAAATTGTGTATGTTTCGTTGGAAAAATGAATGAAAAATCAAAAAAAAGTTGTGCAGTTTATATTCTGATGAATTTGTTTCTTTTACTTGAAAATGATGAACCCTTATCTCCTTGCATGTCTGTATGTTTTGATCTTTTGGAGTTTTATTTTGTATTTGGATCATGTTTCCGGGTTGGGTCAACCTGGTCCAACACAGTAAAAAAAAAACTAAAAAATGAAAAAAAAGTAAAAATATATATATAAATAAAATAATAAATTGATTAAGTTAATTAGTTTAATTTATGATTGGTGAAATTAATTAATTTTAATTAAATAATTTAATCATG